GTTCAACTTTTCTTTATTTTAAAGAGACAACAGTGTTACTTGTTAGCACTAGAAAAACCTCCCCTTCCTCCCAAACCTATCAGCAAAAATCGTCATGAGCTTTTTTGCAAACTACAGCCCGAGCTAACCCCAGACATGCTGGACTTCTTTCTGAAGCAACCAACCATCTACCCTCTACTGCCATAGCTTTATAGTATAACTTTACATTAAAATCCTCCTCTGGCGTTATTTCTGCCCAGTTTCAGTCCAAAGATACTTTTTTCTTTCTCCAGATTTTTGCAGCTCATTTAGGTGAATATAGAAAGAAAAGTTTTATGGTAAAAAAAAACCATAAAAAATTTGTACTTGACTAATTCATAAGCGGGCAAGTTTGCAACAGACTGCAGCACAGATTTTAAAATGTTGGAGAGAGCTTGGGGAAAGAGTAGGAAGGTCTATTCAGGAAAAGATCAATAGTTCTTCTGGTGGTTTCTTGTTTCAGTATACCATGGTAAAACTGTTCAAAGGAAACCTAACACAAGCAGTAATGATTAAGCAACAAAAGCCCCCATTCCTTATAATTATAGCCCAGTGTGATACCGGCCTTTAGCAAATACGTCATTTTCTTCACTGCAGTGTTAACAAGCCCAAACCACAACCTGAATGTTGCCTCTGATCTGACTGCCGTGTGCACAGGTTTGTTTGGTTCAAGTTGAGTGAGTTTATGTACTCCATAATTGGCTTGGGATAGGTGTGGGGTAGAAGCTGCATCCTCTGAGATTGTCCTGTGTTGGTGACTCGCTTGCTCCACTGGCTGCTGATGCACAAGCTCCAGCAGTGCTTCACTCCCAGGAGAGTTCTCTCAAATGTACTTGGAGGGGCAGCTTTGCTCAGCAGTGTGCGTAGTTACAAAGAGCACTGCCGGTGGGTGCACTGGCAACTTGCAGCGCCTACAGAGATGCTGAGGAACTTGCTAGAGGGACACGTACTTGTGGTTGTGGTGGCACACATCACAGGTAGTGTGGCCCCTGGTTGCCAAAGTGCAGTACAGCACAGGGACTAGTCTGTTGATGTTTTCAGGTTGTAGGATCTGAGATGTCACATCTCTAGTAATTTTTATGTAGCAGCTGCAACACATGAACATCGGTCATTTGCTTTTTTAACCCATGTTTAGTTCAAAGCCTTAGAGAAGTTTATAGCAAAATTGCAGATTTTAAGAGCAGTTGAAATTATTAGAGCCTTTAATTTCTTCCATAGTACACATGTGGTACTCATGTTGAGCCTAGTGATGTGAGTCTGACAGTCTCCACAAGAGAAATTGTCACTTTTCTTAGCTTCTTCCTGTGGTTAATCACCTGTGGCGCTAAAAGCATGATCCTTATTCCTCAGTTAAATTTGTTTGGCTTTGACTTGGCCACATTGCTTCCTATTATATGTTTCTGTTCTGGATTATAGAGTCTCTGGTGCCTGATGGATTATTCTCGTAAAGAACTGGAAAACCAAGTCATTGCTTCCTTTTTTTAAATATGACAAACAAATTAAATTGTACAGATCTTTCACTGGAAAACTCTTTCCATTTCTCAAAATGGTTTTGTGGCTGCTCTCTTCACCATCTCCAGATTTTCAAACAATTTTAATAGAGATGTATGGACTAGAAATGGAAAAATGTCAGCCTTTAGTCTCTAGAGCAATGATGTGTGGCCTCTTTCCACACACCTTTTTGCCTGTATTATGTACAAAGTAGGCATGACACTGGGGTGAATTTCTAATGAGTTCCTTCCTCTTCCAAACATCTTTTTTAATAAGCACCCAGGGTGCTTATTTTCCAAACACGCCAAAGTGTTTAGGTGGTCAGTCCTACGTGTGGGAGAGCCTGGACTATATAGGAAGAGCTCCTGGGCTGGTGAGTAGGAGGGTGTGATCCTGCTTATAGCCTGCAGTCAAAACATGGTCTTCAGAAATGGAAAGCCCAAGCTCTTTCCTGAGTGCTGCCCCAGAGTTTCTCTCAGGTCCTGCCTTGGGGAGCCTTATTCCCAGCAAAGCAGGATATGCCAAGTGTATGCAGGAGTATCTATGGCAATTCTTTCTTTGACTTTTTCTTTTGCTTGGTGCTGGCTAGTTGCAGGAGAAGGCTGGAGCTCAGCTGTGAGACAGTGATGGCGTTCCAGCACTGCGCTCTGCTTCTGTGGGGTGGTGGCAAGTGTTCTTCCCTGGTGGTGGAAGGAGAAGGGAGCTGGTGATGACCAGCTGGGCAATGGTTTGCAGACTTTCTCCTGTGCTTCGTGGAGAGTGGGGAAGTAGAGTGTTCACTCTGGACAAGCAATGTCTTCTCTTCCCTTAGCTGATGCTCTGCAGTGGCCTAGCTCCAGGCTTGATTGCTTTATCCAGCTGCTCCTTGGACAGAGTAGAGGAGAGAATGGGTGTCATGCAGCAGGAGTGCAAACCTCGAGGGCAGCTGCTCGTTTGGCTGTCAGGAGCCCCTTGATGACATGGAGAGGACACATCTGATGCTCTGACGTGGAGAGAGCACTGGGCTTCTGAGCACTTGTTAAATCCACGGCTTGATTGGCTGGGGCAAGGCACTGAGCAGAACCTTGCTCAGGAGGGACATCTGATACAGGGAGAAATTTTAACCCAGCACAGCTTCAGAACAATGCAGACGTCAACAGGAGGGAAGTGTTGGGTGGTACAGTGCAATGACCATTTCTGAAGGACTCTGGGCCATCCAGGGCAGGCACTCTCAGTGTCCTTATGCCTCTGGAGTGTTTGGGCACTGAGGGAGCTCTGTTCACCCTGCAACACACTCACAGCCAGTTTCCCTGGAACAGTTTTACATTTTCCCTGTGGGAACAGTACTCAGAATTTCTTGAGCTTGTTTGGGCGTAAAATCTGAATTAGGCACTGAGTGTAAATTTGGAGACTTGGAGTCTGTTCCTGGCTGGCTTGGTCTGATGTCCTTGGGTGAGCTCGGATCTTGTTGCTAGAGGAGACCTCACTTTCCTAGTTGTCTGTGAAATGAGCTTACCCAGCCCAATAAGCTCATTGCAAGTTAGGCAGGAACGCCAGGCTCGCAGGACTGTTGTCAGTCTCTTGTGCAGGGGTTGTGTTGGGCAGCTGGCAGCAAACCCAGCACTGTCAGACTGTGTTGTGCAGCCAGCACTAGGACACGGCCAGGTTTGCCTGCTCAACCCCCCTTACTGTTTATGTTCCACCTGGGCTCTGCCTTGCACCCTGCCAAGGAGACCCTGTGTATGACAGGAGACCTAGCAAGGGGCTAAGGCCCTGGGAGATGGGCTGAGACAGAACCAGACATCCCTCCCATGTACCCTTCCCAAAGCCGTTGTGGTTCTGGGCGGGGACAGAGGGAGCTGGGAGGGGAAGGTGTAGGCAGAGGCGTCTGTTTGTGCTCATGTTTGCTGCTAGCAGTGCCACAGGAGCCTTCCTGGCCAGGGAGAGGGAGTAAGCCCCAAATACTCTCACCAGCCAGTACAGGCAGACTCTTCCGTGCAACCCTCTCTCCTCAGGGCCCATCTGGCGAAGTCTGTCACTGGCCCTTCTCTGCCTTCAGCCTGCTCTGGGCAGCAGCCAAGGGACCAGCAGCAGCATCCCTGCTGCTCTTTTCCCTCCCCCGGGAATGGAGGGATCATGGGCTTTGATGTACGGGCACAGGGCTGGGGACAGGCTGTGTGCACTCATGAGAGTCTGGCCAGGCTCCAACTGCCTTTGAAGTGCTCCAGTGATCAGGATGAAAGGAAGGGGAGTCCTTCCCCAAACCATCTGGCTCTAATTGCAGGTAGAAATGCTTCTCTGCGTCCCCCCCTTCCACCCCATGGGGAGGGGGCACTCCACACTCTTCTTCGTTAATCCCGCGGCTCTCGACTGGGCTGGCGTGAAGGGTGAGAGCTTGGAAACAAAAGGGGGTTTCAGCTGGGCAGCCAGCAATAGGCATCATCTGGCAGAGATGCTGGAGGTTCGGGCACCTTGGCTCCCAACCTTGAGATACGGGGCCCAGCAGATCTTCCTGGGACGCCTGTGCCACCAGAGGGGTTTGCCAGTTGTTCCCATCTCTGGTTTCTCAGGCACACTGGAGCCTGCTGGCCCTTTGACTCACACTCTTTCATGCCAGTGCGCACCGAGTGCAGGGACGAGGAACGTGGGAACTCAGTGTGAGCCCAGTTATTTGGCAGCACGCGCTGGCCGCCTCCCTGCCTCCCTCCCCCCCGCCCCACCCTTCTGACTGGTGCTGCCTGTCCTGCAAGACTCCCTGCCCACTCTCCCTGCTCCTCCTGGGACAAGGCTGGCTGTGAAATGCCACTTGTCACTGCAGTGGCAGCAGCAGTTAGAGCCATTGGCAGCACTGGCAAGTGACTTTTGTTGACTTGTTCGGCTGGGCGTCTTCCCTTTCTCAAGGACCTAGAGGTAGCTGGGTTATATCTACCAGCAGTTTCTTTCCCTCCTTGTGGTAGCCTGTGGGCAGCATGTGAAATCTCAATTAAACCTGTGTTGCGTGAAGTTGTCTGCCCTAATACTAACACCACAGAACAATTTATTTTGATGAGGTTTTCCCCCTTGTCATAAAGCCCTTGTTATAAACTTTTTATATAAATATATAAAATTATTAAACATGAGCTCTAGTAACTCTGTGACCAGAAGCAGCCTATGCTGTTTACCCATCTCCAGGGACCAAGCGATGGCCAAAAAGGGAGGGCAAGAAGTGGAAAGCCAGGCAAAATGGGTAATGGGACAGCAGAGGGGTGCAGAGAGGGTGGTTGTGGGTATGGAAAGCACTAACCTGAATAGACCTGTAGGTTCAGGTGCAGTGGGGCTGAATCCTAGCACAACAGAGGACAATGGATATTAACTTGATTGATTAACATGTTAACTGCCACCCTGATGCTGCAGATAGGGTGGAAGAACAGCTTGGTGCAGCAGACTAGACCCCCATTTGCTGGGCAGCAGTTTGCTCCCTGCCCTGCACTGCCACCCTGCAGAGATATTCTCACTGCCTCTTCCCTCTCCAGGTCTCTGCCTCATCCGGTCCTCGTTCGGCAGGGGATGAGGAGCTGCCACCATCAGGCAAGGCGCGGGGGCTGAGGCGGAGCGGGCAGGCTGGCCCGCGGCGGCACAGGCGTCGGGGGGTGGCTCAGCAGGCTGCCAGGAGCCCAGCAGTGCCCCAGCCCAGCAGTACTGGCCAGGAGGAGAGCCTGCCCTTCATGCTGGACCTGCAGAGCTTGCCAGGGCTGGCCAATGTGGACCTGAGTGCCCAGAACCCCAACATTCAGGTGGGGAGTAGGTCTAGGAGGGCCATGGGGGGGATATGGGTGAGCACTGCATGTGCTCTCCAGCCTCATTTGGTTCCCTAAGAGGAAAGATCTCGTGAATGGGGTCTGTGTGGCTGCTGCCATCTGTCTTCTTGGTAGCTGCCAGCTGCAGATAGCTGGCATGGAGAAGCTCCTTGCCAAAAGAATTTGCTCACACCCTTTTCCCTGGCCCCCCCAGCTCCTCTCCACAGAGCAGGAGCAAACACTCTTACGTGGGTACCTCTCAATTTCTGAGGGTGGCGTTGGCCCCTGTGGGTGACAGCCAGCCCCCCGAGCCTCCCACGCTGTCCCTGGTCAGTCTCTCTGGATGAGGTGAGACCACTTGTGCTCGTCATCATCCTGCAGCCCAAAGTGTCTCTGGCCTCTCGAGTTGGGAACCAGTGTGTGTTCTGGTAGGTCTGTCCCAGGGCTGTGCCCTGGCTCACTGCCTTGCCTTGTGTCTGCCTTAAAGGTGACCATTGAAGTGGTGGATGATCCTCAGGCCGAGATGGAGATGGACTTGTTGAAGGAGACAAGAAATGACTGGTCTCTGACATCCTCTGAGTGGTTGTCCCACAAGGACCTGTTCTGGCCCCTCTTCTGGGAATACACTGACCTTACCGAGGGGGAAGAGGAGGAGGAGGAGGAGGAGGAGGAGGAAGAAGAAGAGGAGGAGGAGGAAGAGGACGACAACCTGGATGTAGGGGACAAGGAGGAAGAAGAGGATGATGATGAGGAGGAAGATTACACAGCAGAGTATGAGGAGGAGGAGGAGTCCATGCTCAGTGGAGTGGGAGGTAACTGGGACCAGCGATGGCCTGGGCAGAAGAACTGGATCTTTAAGGAAAAATATAATTACGGTGAGTTCTCTTGGTATGCACAGCTGCCCTGCAGACCAGCACTGCCCTCCCCTGCCCTGCCTGGCCCACAGCCCTGCACCAGGAAACACAGCACGCCGGTGCTGAGCTCCTACTTAAAAAATAAGCAAGAATGCCAAGGAGCAAGGCCAGTACTCAGCTGTGGCTGCCAGCAGTCAGACATGCTAGAATCCCAGTGGGAACTGCCCTTGCATGTAATCAGATGGAGCATGGACTCTAGCAAAGGCATGCTCAGATGGGAAATACATTGTAAATGTTGAATGACAAGTGCTGCTGCCATCTACTCAGATCCCTGCAGTGACACCAGTGCCTTTACCTCAGACGTCGACATTCCCCCCAGGAGAGGAGCTGCAGAGGGCTCCATGGCAAGTGCTGGTGGGCAGACAGGCCATGGCACCACAGCAGCTCCCTCTTGCAGCTTCTTGGCCATGACCCTGAAACCAGTCAGCCTTTGCTAATACCTCATGCTTCAGCATCATGGCCAGTGCATTGGCCAAGTTCAGTGAGGATGGGGATGTCATTGATGCCTGTTTGGGTTGGTATGACTGGGAGCAAAGCTGTGAGAATGAGAGCTTTTGCTCAGGGGTTGCTTCCCTGGGGTTGGCAACGAGGACAGGGTTGTCCCTTGGCATCGGGGATGGTGCAGAGCTGAGGGAGGTCCCAGGTGGCTGTTGGCTCCCCTCCTCCTAGGACTTTGCTGAGGTTCACCACTCTCTGCCTCTTCCCTGCCTTGCACAGACTATGAAGATGAGGAGGAGTGGAGCCTGTGGTCCCCTTGCAGCACTACCTGTGGCAGTGGGAACCAGAAGAGGACCCGGTCCTGTGGTTATGCCTGCACAGCAACGGAGTCGAGGACCTGCGACCTGCCACACTGCCCTGGTGAGCCCTTGGCCATACCAGTGCTTGTGTACTGTCTGAGCCTGATGTGGATTGCAGTGGTCCCCCACTGCTGCAGGCAGTGCTCATGCTTCAAGAACTAGTTACATTTAATGTGTTCAGGGCTAATGACCATGGGCCTTTGTTTCCACAAAGAGGCTGTGATTGGGCTTCATGGCTCCCCAAGCAGTTGTGTGGTACCTAAGGGTGGTAGAGTTGGAGTCCGGCTTGATATTTAACTTCTTGCACCTCTCTTACACTTGAAATTCTCTCCTGAGGCATACTGAGAGCTGGCTCTATCCACTGGGATTTACGTAACTCACAGCCTCGGACAGGTCTGTCCATCCAGTCTTGCTGCTGGCCCTTCCTTCCAAAGACAGAGCCCTGACACCAAAGAAGTGGCAGGAGAGGGGCTGGAAAATGGATTGTGTCTGGTGCACATACAGAGGGAAAAATCCCACCACTTGTCTTGGTGTTCAGCCTGGCTCTTTGTTTTGTTTTTTTTTTCCTTCCTTCTCAAGGTGCAGAAGGGGAAATGGTCTTCCCCACAGAAGAGACACCTTTCAAAAGTGACAACACCACAGAGCTGTTCAACTCAGGTCAGCCTTTGCTTCTGCCTTGCACTGGCTTCAGCTATGACTGGGGGGTCATAGCTGGCTGGTGGGGAGGGCTCTGCCAAGGGCTCCTACATCTGCTGTCCAGACATAACCACTACCATGTACAGGCTTCAGTGGTCATGTTGGTGAACCCAGTTACTCCCACAGCGCTGGTACAACACAGTCCTGCTTTACGGTTCAGTGGCCGAGGCCAACCTGCCGTGTGCCCTCTTCCATGGGGCAACGCTGCCGGCCAGGCCCCCGCACAAAACCCCTTCCCTCTGTCACTGCCTTGGGGATGGAGCCCGGCTCCAGCTCATCCCAAGAGCCTGACTGCTCCTTCCTGGTAGTTGCAGGCTCCACTGGTGGTGTTGGCAAGGTGGCAGGCAAACGGCAGTTGGGTAAAGTGGGGTGCAGACTGTTCATGCCCTCACCTTTCTGTACCTTCCCCCAGAGGTGGACAGCTGTGAGAAGTGGCTGAACTGCAAGAGCGACTTCCTCACCAAGTACCTGAGCAAGGTGCTGACGGACCTGCCCAGCTGCCCCTGCTCCTACCCATTGGAAGCCGTCTACAGTGCCGTCAACCTGCGGGACGAGCAGCAGGGCAAGAGCTTCCGATGGCGGGATGCCAGTGGCCCCAAGGAGCGCCTGGACATTTACAAGCCGACAGCACGGTTCTGCCTGCGCTCCATGCTCTCCCTGGACAGCACCACCCTGGCTGCCCAGCACTGCTGCTATGATGAGCACACCCGCCTCATCACGCGCGGCAAGGGGGCCGGCGTCCCCAATCTCATCAGCACTGAGTTCTCCCCAGAGCTGCACTACAAAGTGGACATGCTGCCCTGGATCCTTTGCAAGGGCGACTGGAGCCGGTATCACGCTGTCCGGCCCCCCAACAATGGGCAACGGTGTGCGGACAACCCCACCGAGGAGGAGTACCTCTCCCAGCTGCAGGAGGCCAAGGAGTACTAGCCACAGCCACTCTCAAAGGAGCCACAACCACCACTGGCTTACACCCCTGCGCAGCCTGGCGAGCCCTGGCCCTGCTCATGGGCTCCTCAGTGGTGCCAAGCAGAGCAGGGAGGATGCACCATCTGTCTCAGCCCCTCAGAGGGGTGCCTCAGCCCCCCTCGGATTTCTGAGGGTGCCGGAGGTTATCGTGGTGCAATCCCTGCCATGCCACCCAGGGCAGTCCTGTAATCCAGGGCTCCTGGGCTGGCACATGGGGAACAGCAAGGGCTCAGAGGTGTAAAGGGAAGAAGGGGCTGCTCCTGCCCGCTTTTATTCTATACGACCTTTCAATGCAACCTGAAAGCTGAGGGCGGGGTGAAGCAGACACAGCTCCTACTGGCTTCATGCCTTGTCTGAGGAGCTGGTGAGGCACGGCTGCCTGCTCTTGCCTGTGCACCTGCCCTGGCACACACTGGTTTATGTCTGAAACTGGGGGTAGGTCCTTTAGAGAGCACATGGCTGTGCCAGCCATGTGTACAGAGCAGGGTTTGCATGCTCCTCTGGTTTGTGCATGCACAGTTGGGAAGGAGCAGGGAAAAGCTTAGCAGGGTCCATAGGCCCAGGGTGGGTGTGGGGCAGGAGGAGACTGGCTGCCTGGGCTCTCTTGGCAGGATTGCCTTGCCGCCGGGGTTTGGGTTGCCAAAGCTAGACATGGGTGGGCTTCAGCGGAGGTCACCACAGGGGACACATCACCTGTGTGCATTTCAGCCCCTCTGCCTTGGTGCTTGGGGGAGCAGGGTGGTAGCACCCGTGCAAGTCCCAGCACTAGCCCACTGCCAGGCCTTGGTGCCCTGGCAGCCCCCAGAGGGTCTCAGTGCTCAGGAGCCCCCATAACACAGCCTAGAAGGAAGTCCTGTATTTCTCACTCACAGGCCTGCTAGAGGCAGGAGGCACCTTGGCCACTGCACATGCCATTGCTGGCGAGGAGCAAAAAGCACCAAGCCAAGCTCTCCATGGGGATAGGAACAAGTCAGCTGCCATTAGGAGCATCCAGCATTGCCCTCTCTGGTCTGCTGCTGGACACGGGCCCTGCTCCATGCTGTCTTTTCCCAGGTGCCCAGCAGGATACAGCCCAGGGAAAGCGAGGCGTGGACACACCCTGCACCTCTCAGGCTCACTGCCGGGCCAGGCGAGCAAGTGTGGCTCCAAAGAAGGAACATGCACATGCTAATAATGTCAATACCTAGTGTCCACAGATCATGGATCATGATGCTCTCTGGTGCACTTTGGTCTTGCCTGGGTTTCATTCAGCTTTTCACAGGTCCGTGGCAGTGTGTTCCAGCATATTTTGTGAGCTTTTCTGCAAAGAAACTGGACTGAGCACCTTTATCCCTGGACATTCAGTTGTTGAACCTGGCAGAAACTTTGCAGCTTTCATTTGGAAAATTTTATGCATCAGAGGAAATAAAAGAGCGAGTCAAGCACACATAAAGAAGAATGGAGTAATTTCTAGACTAGAAGTTTCATCTGAGGCTGTTTGCTACTCCATGTATTTCTGCGGGACACTGTTGGACCAAAAAAATATGTCTGGTTGCAGAGGTCCTTGGCTGACCATCCAGTGCTGTGTCTGTCCTTCTTGCAGTTTTCTCCAGCATCAGTGAATATCCATGGTCTGAAAGCAATCTGGGGAGTCTTTCTGGGAGCATCTTTATATATTTTGAATGTATATTGATCCTTTTGTCTTGGTTACTGATAGAATATTGTGTCTTTGTTCATCAGTATCTAAGACTTCCTAGCTGGTTCCTAGGGAAAAAGGGGTTCCAAGCTGGTAAAACAAAACTATTAATGAAGTTGTCACTGAATTATTTGACTGTTATTCCACACTTGTATCCCTAGATTCTGGCTGTGGGTTCTGTCAAAACATAGGCAGGCATTGTCCTTTTCCCCACAGGTACGCAGTTTGAGATGACCAGTGTTACATAAGTGGTAATAAGGAAGACAACCAAATAAGCACGGATGGAGACATAGACCCTGGAAAATTTTCGTGATCATTTCATGTTCCTAGTCAAAATGGTCATTCGCTCGCTAGTTTCTGCTAAAGAGGTAGGTCATAAAGAGGTGGTCAAGGGGGGGGGCAGTGTCTCGTCAAGAGACATGGAGGCTTTTGTATGGGAAACAAACAAATTGAGCAGACGAGGCCATGGAAGGGTGAGCTTGTTATCTTCTGTCATTCAGCACAGCATCTTCGTATTTCCTCTCCCATACCATATATCATCAATAACATCATCAGACTCTTGGAGTTTATTTACCATCAGTGCTGACTTCTTTAAAACAGCCTCCTGTTGAATGTGCCTAGTGTTTGGTATTGGACCCATGCATGGAAGCAGGACTTCTGCAAACAGCCTTTCTTGAAGGAAACTTGCAAAAGCTCAGCCAGTTTATTTGTTAGACTGGCAACTCTCTAAGGAAGTGCTCTTACAATAAAGCCTGTTACTCAGGCTTTGCACCCTCTTCCCCTTTATACTGGCTATGTCAACCAGTCTAACCCTCAGAAAAGAAACTATGATTTCTGTAATAACTGGAGTTCCTGTCTAAGGGCAAGTAGAAAAATTCCTTGCATTGATACCCCCCCCACTCCCCGCCTCCCCCACAAAAGGTAGTTGAGAGCCAAGTAGCTGTTCTGCTTCGCTGCCTCTATGGTTTGGACAATATAGGCGTGAACTGGAGCATAAGAAACAAGAAGCAGTGTTGTTCCTCATACAAGCACCTTACACACCGGGAGGCTTTGCAGAGCACTGTGAGAAAAGCAGACATTAAGCAAGTGTTTATTTTTATATCCCATCAAAGATTCTGTCCAGCTCACTGCTGTTTAAGTGATGAATTTCTAAGGTTTTACTCCTTGGGTTTATTGTGGGTATTTTATATATAGTATATATAAAATGTCTTTTATTCCTACAAAATTTCATAGAGAAGAATTCTTTATTCTGATAAAGCACTTTATATATATACACACACACATTCATATATATATATGTCATGCTGATGTCATTCAGTTGGAACTGGAGCATATTATGCTATTTATTTTGGTTGAGAGGGATGACACTATGTTGAACGCTACGTCTGGGGTTCCCAGTGCCAGTTGGGGCCCTGATGGCTTTGATTCCTTCCCTTAGGATTTACATTTAGTGATGTCTGGCTGCAAAAATCACAGGTAACAAAGACTATCTGGAGCCCACCACCACAGCCATGGGATATGTGAAGTTCTACTTACAGGGAAGGAAGCCTCCTACAAGGCCATCAGGGTCAGTGCTGAAAAGCAAATGTGTGCCCCAGGTTTTATTCCATGGTGAGCCTGGCCAGAGTTGGGTACTGGCTGATGTTACACCAGCACACTGCTTTAGGCAGATATTGAGCATGGAAGCAGGGGGAAAATAAAACCCAGCATCATCCCAGCTGGAAAACTGGTTTGGCAAACCACCTCCAGAGCCAACAGCTAATTATAGCAGGGTGATTTGCAAAGCTTTCCAGGGATCACAACTTCTAGTTGCTGTTAATTTGCTGCATAAATCATGACCGCTTCCAAGATCTTGCTGTTTCCAGCTGTTCTCCCTCCTTCTCTGTTGCTCCTTTTGCTTTGTGATGTCTGCACATCTGTCAAGGGTTATCTGCTACTCCAGCACGGGACTCTGCTCCACAGCTGCCTGGCACCATTGCTGGCCTCTACCTGGGCGCAGCAGACAAGTCCTCTCAGTGAAAGGATACTCTGAGCTTCCCGCGGGTCTTCTACAACATCCAAAACATCACTGCATGGAGCCCAGGCTTCTCAGACAAAATCACTCTTTCCTTGGAGGGGCAGTCAGCAGTTACATGCCTAACATTTAGTGATGTCCTTTAGTGATTGCCTTTTAACGTGCCTTTATCCTATGCAACAAGGTCCTGTGCCTTTATCCTATGCAACAAGGTGCTGGATGCTGAGCCCTGCTGCAAAACTCCTGGGCTATAGAAATCCCACAGCCAGAGAATGGAAGCAGGAAGAATTTGTGCACTAATCAGGTGCTGAAGACCTGGAGATGTCACCTGAAATCACACAGTGAGTCTGTGGCAGAGTCTCAGGCTGCACTTTTGCCCACTGCATTGAACATGAAACCAGCATCATTGCTGGCCATCAGCATTGTCTTAGTCTGCCAGCCTGGACTGGAGCTCGGTGTGGCTCAGCTGCACCAGTTCCCTGGCATCTCCCTTGAAGATGAGTTTCTCTGCACATACAATGGGCCACGCCCAGATTTTGCTGAGGCACAGGTGGCGTGAGTGCTGCCGATCTCTCAGGGATGACTGTGAAATTTCATTACAGCAACAAATATTCTGTTAGGTCTGCTCTTTCTCAGGGCTCCTGCACCAGTAATCTGCTTCTTGGAAAGCACACAAAAAAACCCCAGCTGGGCCCAGAAGGAGCTGCTTTGGAATGAGAGAGCAGGGGATGATAATGCAAGGAGAGTTTGGCCAAAGCCTATGGAGCAGACCTGAACTCCAAGGCCTGGCCTTGACCTAGGCAAGAGCAAAGTGTGATTGTGATGGTCTGTGGACCTTGAATTAAAAGTAAAGTTCTGGAAACAAAACAAACATTTCAGACACCCCTGTTCTGGTCTGCGAAGGGACACACCCCACTGTGTGGCTACAGTAGCCTTCTGGGCTGGGTGTGCTGGTGGCACACAGCTGCCAACTTCTCTTGAGCAGAAAATTAAAAGGAAAAAAAACATACACTTGCTGCAATTTTTCAGCTGTAGCCTTGCTGGCTGCACTTTTCCACTTGGTCAAGATAATTCTCGACCCTAAACTTGTCTTCCAGTGATGATGTAATTTTTTTTTTTACTTTTAAGTTACCAATTATCTATACTGAAATGTACTGCATTCATTACATCTTTATTAGGCCTTCCCTTATTTACTAATAAAAATATTATATAAAGTATTACCTAAAATCTTAATAAAACTCAGATACTCTGCCAAAGAAAATCATTAATTTGGCTTGATATGAGTTGTGCTTGATGTAGCCATGATACAGGTGTGTTGGTTGTTACTTTTTCACTGATTAGTCAGGTATTTTATAGGTTACTGACTGCATTTGTATTTTTTTCATTAATGGATGTAACAAATTGATCTAGTTCTCTTGGCCCTCACCTCTTTCACTTTTTTCCTCCCTTCCTCTTCCCAGTCCCACTCCTCATTGAATTCTGAAATGTTGTTCAACTTTCCCAAGTGAGTTTCTTAGGATACTTTGTCAGGCCCTGTAATACTGGAAACAACCAACTATATTCACTTTTGCTTTAAAAAAACATTTAAGTTTTTCCCATTTTGCCATTGAAGTAGGGTTGGGATGATGTTTCAAAGCAGTTTTAATTGTTGCTTAGGCTGGAGACCTTCAGTCTCTGATTTGTGGTCCAATTTTCCCATAGAAGTGTCACACATATAAGTGATCAAAATACATGAGGAAGGGCCGAGTCAGCACAGCTCCATCTAAACCCACGTCCAGTTTCTGACAGCAGTCAACAGTGAGTGACTAGGAAGGAAAAGAGAAGGACAAGCACACTATTTCCCTGAAGTACTTTCCTTGTTTGCCAACAGCTGGTAGCCAAGACAGTTTCTGAGCTAAATGAGAAGGTTGTTCTTTTTAATAGCCCTTGGTTGTTTTATTCTTGCAAGATTTTCTTCCACTCTTGTTCTGAATCCATGAAAACTTTTAGTGGCACCAAATCACCATTTGCAAGAAATTCCAAAATTCACTAAATGTGTCCAGAGACCAATTTAGTTTGTTGTTTGATGGTTACTTCTTACCTCCTCTGTGTGCCTCATAAAGGCATAGCCAGTGAGCATCCACCTCTGACCTCATCATTGTGAAAAAGTCATACTTTATCTCGGTTTTCTGTTTTTTTAACCTTTGTTCTCTTTAATTCATAAGAGCTTCCCTCTTATCCTGTGTTAGTTCAGTCTTAAAGAGCCTGTGGGTTGGAGTATACTGGACCTTGCATTTCTCCCTCATCTTATACACATCCCTCCCTTCTCCATATAGATGAAAGGCTGGCTCTCCTGACACTTCCAAGTAAAGCAAAGGTCTGGGGTTTCTCATTAGCATCATAGAGCTGCACCAGATGTCATCTGTAGCTGAAGGAGTGTGTCTCTTTGCTGGCAGCAGGCAGATGTCATGCAGGGACCTTCACTGGCATGACTTGAAGCTCAGATCTCCTCTGCCAAGGAAACGGCTGAAGCGGTGTAAGGCCCTAATTACCGCTGCTGTGCCCGACAGGGCTGGCACGTCATGGCACACTCGGTGCACGAGCGCACAGCCCGCCCTTTTAGCACAGGCTTTCCTTTGCCAGCGGGTCCGACCAAGAGGTGCACATGTGAACAGCAGCCAAGGCATGGCCACATTACACAGCCTGTTCTGCTGCTGTGGGAATGGTGATTTCCAGCCCGCAGAGCAGGGAGCCAGCTGGGGCAGCACCAGCATAGCTCAGGGCAGTCAGCTTTGCTGGAAGAACCCTCAAACAGCCTCCAAGCAGCCCTGAGTCCATGAGCCCCATGAATGTGGGTTGCTGGCTGAGGCCAAAGCGTGTCCTATTAGAGTAGCAGCAGGATGCCCAAAGTAAACCCTGCTTGTGATGAAAGGAAGGCAATTAAAATTCCACTTCAGTTGCCTTCCTGTCCCACTTCCTAACCTTCCAGCAGCAGGTGATTAGCGGGGCTTGCCTTCTGCTGCCCTGGCCCAGCTGTGCCAGCAGAGCCTGCAGCAGGCGAGCGCT